GAGGAATCGAACCCAGGGCTTCATGCATGCTAGGCCAGCACTCTACCACTGAGCCACCTTCCCAGCCCCTCAGATAGTTCCTGAATAATCTGAGGTGTCTTAATTCCATTTTGGAAAGAAACCACTTTAAGATAAAATCTAACATTTCAAAAATCCTTTCCTGTCCCAAAGCAGAAACCTCTTCTCCTTAACAAGAGCCAAGCCACCAGGCCAAAGCAGGAACTCTACCCCTAACCCCCCACCGGTCAATCATGGGGCTTGAATTCTGGGCCTGGGCGCTGTCCCTCAGCTCTTCAGCTCAAGGCTAGCGCTCTACCACTTGAGCCACTTCCGGTTTTCTGGTGGTTTATTGGAGATCAGAGTCTCACAGCCTTTCCTGCCCGGGCTGGCTTTGAACCGCGATCCTCAGATCTCAGCCTCCTGAGTAGCTAGGATGGCAGCAGGCGTGACCACCTGGCTAAGCCCAGGAGGGGGGGGACAGATGAGGGCCACTCACCACCCCAAAGGACAGCTCCTGGTGCAGCGGATCGTGGGGCAGGTAGTTCAGGGGCACTGAAGGGGACAAGGCTGGACCCGGGGCAGAGGTGGGGTAGGTAAAGCTGCCCAGGGGGTGCTGGTCCCCACGCAGGTCCACGTCATTGTCCAGCCGCTGCAGAGGCTGCAGGAGGCAGAGGTGGGTTTGGTCATGGGTCTGTGACAGGGAAGGCCCGACCCCCCCCCTCCTCCTCCAGCATCAGATCCGTTCCCCAGACTCACCATCCGCGGGTGCTGGGTCTGCAGTGATACAAACTGCCCCAAAGGTGCCATGTGGGTGGGCTGGGGCGGTGGGGCGGGCGGTGGGGGGTGCAGAATGTAGGGGTCACCGGAGATGAGGTGGGGGTAGGTCTGGTAGGACACAGGGAGCTGTTGCATAGTGCATGCCTGGATCAGCTGCTGAGAGAAGGGGCAAAGGGCGGCTGGGAGAGAGCCAGAGAATGGTTTTCTGGGCTCTGGGCTGGGCCTTTTGCTTTCTTTTTTTTTTTTTTTTTGCCAGTCCTGGGGCTTGAACTCAGGGCCTGGGGCACTGTCTCTGAGCTGCTTTTGCTCAAGGCGAACGCTCGACCACTTGAGCCACAGCGCCACTTCCGGTTTTCTGGTGGTTTACTGGAGATCAGAGTCTCACGGATGTTCCTGCCTGGGCTGGCTTTGAACCGCGATCCTCCGATCGCAGCCTCCTGAGTAGCTAGGATGACAGGCGTGAGCCACCGGGCCCTGCACAGGCTTTTTCAACCGTGGTCAAAGGGACACTGGGGGCCTCTGCCCGCTGCCTAGCGACGAGGGACGGCGGGGCCATGTCTGGGTCTCCACCGAGCGCTGGCTACTCACCGGGGGCGGGAGGCAGCAGAGCGGGTAATGCTGCCCGCTGAACATCACGGAGCATGCTGGGAGTTGCTGGGCACTGCAGCCGGGGATGTGTTGGCCTGCAGGCAACGGGAAGCCTTGGGTGGTTACTGTGGTGACAGTGTAGGACAGAGGGACAGGTCCCTGGTGCACCTGTGAGGAGAGAAGAGGGCCAGGGCGCTGGAGGGAGGAAGCGTGGTCGCCAGCTCAGCCCCCAGCCCAGCGGGACGCCCCCCCCCCCCGAGCGGGAGGGAGTAATCCTGAGATGGGGAAGGGGCCTCCACCCCCCCGGGCCTCAGTTTACCTACCTAGCGCATTGCGTGGGACGTGTGAAGGGTAAAGCAATGGGGAGCCGGGTGGTCTGCCTACCTGCTCGTGGAGATCAACCATGAACGGGCTCTGCTGGGAGGTTTGGTGCAGCATTCGGGGGCTCCTGTGGGCAGGAGCCGAGGCCCGGCGCTCCTCTACGGGGAGGTGTGGGGGTTGGCGCGGTGGCTGCTGGGAGGGTAAGCTCTCATCCTGGGCAGGTGGACTGGCCAGGGGGCCCTGGCGGCCGAGGCTACACCACAGAGAGGAGGCCCCAGTAGGAATGAGGGGCCCCTATACATTCAGAGAGCGGGGAGAGGAGCCAGGGTCCCCCAGCCCCGCCCCCCCCATCCAAGATGGCCACCCCATCCCATCCAAGTGGGGAACGGGGGGAGAGGGGGTCCCCTCTGTCCTACCTTCCCCAGAGCTGGCTTGGAGCGCTGCTGGGCCCCGCGGAGAATCGTCGCTGGGCTGTAGGGGCGGACGGTGGCCACCTAGTCACTGCTAGAGCCCATGGCCGCATCAGGGGAGCCGAGGGCTGGGGGGGCCAGGCCGGGGGTCACAACCCTAGGGGACAAGCAGAGCAGGACACTGAGGCCTTGGAGAGACGCAGCCCCTTGCCCAATCAGGGGTTAAGAGGAGATGATGGATCCAATTCCAGCCGCGTGCATGGTGCTCGGAGTCCAGTGCTCACAAGAGATCACACGGGCTCAGGCCTCAAGGAACCCAGGCCTCGGCTTCCGGCTGTGTCCAGTGGGATCACAGGGCCTGCAGGGCAGCCGGGCGTTGGTGGCTCCCTCCTGCCATCCTAGGTGGAGGCTGAGATGTGAGGATCGAGGTTCCAAGCCAGCCCAGGCAGTGAAGTCGGCTGAGCCTCTCGTCTCTAGTTAACCACCAAAGAAAAGCAGAAGTAGACACATGGCTCAAGTGGTATAGAGTTAAAAAAAAACACAAAAAACGCTAAAGGACAGTGCCCAGGCCGTGAGCCCAAGCTCCCAGTACCGACATTAAGAAAAAAGCTCCAGGTTACTCTGTCCTGCTAAGAGGCGTGGACAAGGTACTGCAGTGCGGCCTCCACACCACTAGGGGGCTCCCTGGAGACACTGCCTGGAGGTCTGGGATCCAGTTCTTTTTCTATCACAGTGGGGCAAAAGTTTTTCCGACTGCTTCCTGCCCCGGGGAAGGGCTCAGTCCAAGACAAAGATGTAGCTATCCTGTTCCTAACCTGTTTCCCAGGTACACACAGGTGTGACTTCAACGTATTGGTGCTGGACCTAGGCTTGCACTCTGTCCCTGAGCGTTTGTGCTCAAACTAGTACTAACTAGGCCACTTGAACCCCAGCTCTACTTCTGGTTTTCTGGTGGTTCACTGGAGATGCGTCTCACGGACTTTCCTGCCTAGGCTGGCTTCCAACGGCGATCCTCAGATCTCAGCCTCCTGAGTAGCGAGGATGACAGGCGTTGAGCCATGGGTAATAAGCTATTTTACTGAGGCTCAATTAGAGAGGAATCCTGGCTGTCCCAGGGGGAGGGGGGGAGCTTGCTCTGGGAGCCCTAACACAGCTCCCCAAATAGGAGGCGGGGCCTGCTGAGAAATAAGGAGGAAGAATCTGAGAGAGGAAGTTGGGCAAGAATAGGTGGGAGGGGAGGGGTGTCTCCTCCCTGTGGGTCAGACTCAGGGGTTCAGGTGAGGATCTGGCTCAATCCAGGCTTCCTTCTACCCACTAACTCCAGAGCTAGAAATAAGCTCGTGGCAGGAAATGTTCTGGACCAGCAAGGACCTATAAAGTTGAAAGGTACACATCACCTAGAGACAACCCCCCCCCACACCTGCTGTTCACATAGCCAAAGAAGCCCACCAACCTTCAGCTCAGAACCCCAGTCCTTCCTTGCCAACAGTACAAGCTTGCTCCCCAAATCTCTGCACCGGGGGGGGGTCCACTTTTGCAGGCAAAATGGACACTTCTGCTAAGTCCAGACTCAGGCACTCAGCAAAAGGGGTTAGGCCACCATCTGGTAATGATGACACTGAATGCCAATGGTTGACATTTGGGGATCTTGCTGGGTGCTGGTGGCTCCTGCCTGTCATCCTAGCTACTTAGGAGGCTGAGATCTGAGGATCGCTGTTCAGAAGCCAGCTAGGGGGGGCAGGAGCAAAAGCTTCCTCTCCAGGTCCACCCCCACCCCCACCCATCCTGTCTCCCTACCACGGGTGACGGGGTCTGTAATCCCCACCCCCACGCCCAGCAGGCCAAGCGCACATCCTGCACATGTGTGCACACATCCCTCACTTCCTGCTGCTGATCTGACCACACAGAGAACAAGGGAAGCTTCAAGAAGAGCCCAAATAACCAAAAATGCATGCTCTGGTCCACCCCAGACCTTCTGGACGTGTGTACGCACATGCGCGTGCGTGCATGCCAGTACTGAGGCTTGAAATCAAGGTCTAGGTGTTGAAGTCTTCCTTCCCCTCAAGACTAGAGCTCTAACCACCTGGGCCACGGCTCCACTTTTGGCTTTTTGGTGGTTCACTGGAGATAAAGAGTCTCACACTTTTCTGCCCAGACTGGCTTTGAACCCAGATCCTTAGATATCAGACTCCAGTGACACTTGGATTTTTATCACATTCCCCAGCATTTTTTCTTTCTTTCTTTCTTTCTTTTTTTGGCCAGGCCTGAGCACTGTCTCTGAGCTTCTTTTGCCCAAGCCTAGCGCTCTACCACTTGAGCTATAGCACCACTTCCAGCCTTTTCTGTTTAGGTGGATGGAACCCAGGGCTTCATGCACGCGAGACAAACACTCTACCACAGAGCCACCTTCCCAGTCCTCCCCCAGCAGTTTCTAAGGCCCAGCCCCGTTTAGAAACCTCAGCCTTTGGCTGGGATCCTGGGAGACCTATGCTAACTCCTATGGACCAGCTTGGCAAGTTCTGACAGTAGCTCTTGCAGGTTAGAACACAGGCTGAGTGTCCAACCGAGGGTTAGACACTAAGTCAGTGGTCTCCGCTCTTCCTGTGTATCTGGTTGTCTCCTGAGGCTAGGCAAGTGCCAAGACTCAGGGATGCCGATGCAGAGGCTCAGGGGTGGGGGAATCTGCAGATCCACTACAAAGGGACCCACTGCTCAGGGAAGGGAAGAGGTAAGGAGCTGAGAAACAGAACCAGCAGGCAGAAGGGCCTCTGGCTGGGAGGCGACGGTGGCAGGTGGCAGAGGTGACAGTGTTGCCAAGTACAGTTCCACACTTAACACCCCCAGCTTCTGCCTAGAATCTTGAAGACTTCAGACGGGAGAGCTCTCCCGGCCTCAGTTTCCTTGTCTGTAAAATGGGAACAATGCACAATCTATCTCCCAAGCCGGCGCTGGTGGGCCACACCTGTCATCTTGGCTACTCTGTAGACTGAGATTTGAGGCTGGCTGAGATCAGACAATCATGGCTCAAAGCCAGCCTGGCCCGATCAATCTGAAAGACTCTCATTTCTAATGAGCCAGCTAACGGCCCAGAAGCACAAGACCCTGAGTTCAAGTCCCCGTTTGGGCACATACACATGCAAAAGGATTTCCTCAAAAGGCACAGCAGAATCCAACCAGTGGGGTATGTGTGATCACTAGAAGCCATTCCCAAGCAGAAACAAAGCACCCCTTCTCTCAAGGCTGCCGGAAGCGGTGGAAATATGCTGCCCTCATGAAGAGAACCTCTGAATTCTCTTAAGTCTGCCCAGGGTCTAGAAGAGCTGAAAGAACACACCCACTTTCCAGCTAACATAACTGAGGTCCTAGGGAAGGAACTTGCTCTAGGCCACAAAACCAGAGAGGAACAGAACTGATCCTGGCAGGGACTCAGGCCCAGACTCCTCCAACCCCTGGCTCACACGCACTGACTGGCATTAAAGCCCAAGACTTCTGAAGCCTTCTTTTCTCACCTGTAACCTAAGCTAAGGGAGGCAGGAGAGGGTGTTTGTTCGCTTTTAGGCACCTGTGAAGAACTCTGCCAGTGGATTCAAGGCGTGGGGTGAATCTAGCAACTTGTTCAAGGTCAAACAGCAAGGGGCGATCAGGAGGCCACCCCTGAACAGCGCTGCTTTCCCATGCCTGCCCAGCGCCAGTGAGGTCTGCCAATGGCTCTTCAGAGACCCATCAGTGCAGGCAAGCAGAGCACCCCCAGCAGTCTGACCCTCCACACCCACACCCCCCTCCCAGCAGCCAACTCCCAAGTTCAAGGACCCACTCTGACCCTAGCCAGGGCAGCCCCTGGCCCTGTCCTTTAGGCCTGGGGGAGGTGGGGTCTGGGCCAAGTCCAGAGCTAGGAAACAAGAGCAGGTTCAGGCCCCACTTCCGTCCTACCCTGGCCCGCCCCCACTCCACAGAGGCGCTCCCCAAAAGGCAGGCAAGGCGGGCGGGCGGGACCACCACACCCCCAAAGAAACCTAGAAAGCAGGATGACCTTGGCCAAGGAAACCCTCAGTCGCCACAACTGTAAAATGGGGGTTGGAGATCTCTCCTCCCCAGGGCACCTCTTTATAAAGAAAAGAGGGGGTGGGGGTCAGAAAAGACAAGCAAGAAAGCCAGGTGGGCAGACTCCCGGGGGGGGAGGATAAGGCTGCCCTCCCTCCCCCCGGCGCCCCCCCCCGGGCAGGCCAGGCGCGGGTTGTGGGGGGCCCCCAGGGAGCTCTCAGAAGCCCCCCCTCCTCCGGGGATGGGGCTCAGGCTCGGACACCGGCCCGGCTCCCGTCGCCCCGCGCTCGGAGGGGAAGGGCGGGGAAGTGGGGGGGAGAGGCCGGGCTGCAGCGCCCGGGGGGGCGGCGGTGGGGGGGGCGCCCCCGGAGCGCTGTGACTTTAAGAAGCGAGCAGCCCGGACCATGTGCTCGGCGTGAGACAAAAGCAACAACAAAGGAAGTGGCGGCCGCCGGGGGAGGGGGCGGCTCCTTCCTCCCCGCCCGCGGCGCTCGGCCCCGGGAGGGGAGGGGGGGGTCCCCGGCCCGGGCCTGGGGAGCGGGCGGGGGG